CACTGTTTTCTTTTTGAATATTTTTGATTCGTGGTTGAATTGAAATTCTGCAAATGTAGAACCTATGGATCCAGAGGGATGACTGTAGTTAATCATTTAGCTAGAGTGTCAATTTTGTTTTGTTTTTGAATATGAGGAACCAAAAGTACCATAAACAGGCCTTTTCTAATTCAAATAATAAAGACTTTGTTTCTTTAGTAAATGCCTTGATTTATAAGATCTGACAGACACGCTACTACTTTACTCTTGAGGTTTCAAGAATAGAGAAAATTCCTCAACTTATTGACTTACTCTTTTAATAAGAAAAAATTTCCTGAGAGAATTCTTCCTCTCACCACATCATTGAACCCTTCTCGTCTAGTTGCAGCATACATGGCTTCAGTGGACACATCAATGTCACATCTGTGACCTGAAAACAAAGAGATAAACATTACTGGAAAAGGAAGTAAAATTTTGGCTAAAACTAGGCCTTGATTCACATTTTTGTGACCAATACTAAAATTTAGGAAGCTTTACCTTAATGCTTCCTTTGCTCTACCTGCCTTGTGACTGACTGACTGACTGACTGACTGACCAGTCATGGAGAGAGAAGAAAATAACCAAGAAAGAAACTTTGTTTACTCCCTCATTCATTCATTCAAACATTTATTGAGCTCTTTCCCTGTGCCATGCATTACATTAGCTGGACTGAGCATACAAATGTAAGATACCATCCTTTCAAGACAGTCACAGTCCAGAGAAGCAAACTGAACACAGAGATATTTATGATGAATGACAAAGGTAAAATGATTCACTGATTTACTTTTCTGAATCATTATCTCAGGTAATAATTTTTTTGTTACTAATAAGTGAAACTTTCAAATGTTTGAGACAACTACCTTAAAAATCCAGAAAACCCGCCATCTTACCATATTCTAGCCCATCAAATCTTGCCATATTCGATGCTACTTCCGATGTGCACAATACGTGGTAGCAGACAATTGAATAACTGGTGTGGGGAAGGGATACATCAATTACTTTGGCTCCCTCAGACTCAAAGAGGTCAGCGGCTTTGGACCAAAGAGATCGTACTTCACTTGATAATTCTGGTACAAGATATTCCTT